ATATATATATATATATATATATATATATATATATATATATATTTGTGTGGATATGTGCACATGACTACAGGTGTCCACAGAAGCCAGAAGTGTCAGGTCTTCCTGGATTTGAAGCTTCATGTGGTTGTGAGCATGTAGTGACATGGGTGCTAGGGGCTGAACTCAGATCTTACTGAAGCGCAATTTATGTTTTCAACTCCTGAGCTCTGATTACGACCCTGGGCTTGGCCTTAGCCTCCTTAACTCCCAAGTGTTGGGGCCATAAGCTTTCCCTGCCACTGGGGCACAGATTGATACTGTGTCTTGAAAGACCTATGCACCTTAAAAAAACAAGACAAAAATCAATTCAAAAGAAAAAAAGCAAAACTCTCTAGAAATACCACTGTTGATAATAACAACTTCAAGCCACACTGTACAATTTCATCTATTTGTGTTTAAAGCTTCTTAGTGTATAAAATTGTTATTTTATTGGAAAATAATAATAAAACCTTGTTTTTTCAGAAGTCAAAAGGGAAAAGGTCTTTGTGAACATAATGAAGATAGTCAATGTGTAGAAAACAACTGGATTCGAGATCCTACTGTATGTAAAGTTAATCCTCTTAGATTCAAGCCATGTGAAAGACATATGTGTAGAATTGTCCTCAATGGCCATTCATCCTTAAATGTGCCTATCACAGTTCAAAATGGACACAAACCACATGAATATCAGAAGTATACAAGGCATCCATATGAATGTAAGGAATGTAGAAACAACTCCAGCTTTCCCCAGTGCCTTCTGATGCAGGCAAGAACTCAAACTGAAGCAAAGCCTTATGAAGGTGAGCAATGTGGAAAAACTGTTAGTGATAATTCCTTCCAGACACGTGAAAGAATCCATGCTTCACAGAAAGCAGATGTGTGCAAACAGTATAGGAAAGAATTCAGGAACAATGCAGGTATTGAAAGACAAATGATAACACAGAAGGATGATGGTCCATGTAAGTTTAAGAAATGTGCTAAAGACATTCTTTATTCCACTTCACTTTTTATGCATTTAAGTTCTCAAATTGGAGAGAAGCTGTATGTATGTAAACAATGTGGTAAAGACTTTCCTAATCCTGCTTATCTTAAATGCCATGAGAAGATGCATTGTGAAGAGAGACCATATGCTTGTAAGTACTGTGAGAAAACATTTACTCGTTCTGGTTCCTTGAGATGTCATGAAAGGATTCATACTGGAGAGAAACCATATGCGTGTAAGCAATGTGGGAAAGCCTTCACTACACCCACTTCCCTCCGATGCCATGAGAAGATTCACACTGGAGAAAAACCTTATGAATGTAAGCAATGTGGAAAATCGTTCACGCTGTACAGATATTTGCAAAGACATGAGCGAATTCACAGTGGAAAGAAGCCCCATGAATGTAAACAATGTGGTAAAGCTTTTTATGCTCACAGCATTCTTCGATATCATGAAAGGATCCACAGTGGAGAGAAACCCTATGATTGTAAGCACTGTGGGAAAGCCTTCACTCATTCCAATTATTTGAGATGCCATGAAAGGATTCATAGTAAAGAAAAGCCCTATGTGTGTAAACAATGTGGAAAGGCCTTCACTACACATAATTCCCTTCATCACCATGAAAGAACTCACATGGGAGAGAAACCCTATGTATGTAAGCAATGTGGTAAAGCCTTCAGAACACAGAATTCCCTTTATCATCATGAAAGGACCCATACTGGAGAGAAACCCTATGGATGTAAACAATGTGGGAAAGCCTTCACATTGTGCAGGTCCTTACAAAGACATGAACGAATTCATAGTGGGGAGAAATCCTTTGGATGTAAGCATTGTGGGAAACTCTTTTCATGTTTGAGTGAGGTTCAAAGGCATGAACAGACTCACACTGGAATAAAGTCTTATGTATGTAAACAATGTGGGAAAGCCTTCTCTAAAAATAGTTACCTTCAATACCATGAAAAGATTCACAGTGGAGAGAAACCTTGTGTATGTAAGCAGTGTGGAAAAGTGTTCACTTTTTATAGTTCTCTTCAGCGCCATGAAAGAACTCACAATGGAGAGAAACCTTATGTGTGTAAGCCATGTGGAAAAGCTTTTACTTTTTCTAGTTCCCTTCAACGTCATGAAAGGATTCACAGTGGAGAGAAACCCTATGTATGTAGGCACTGTGGGAAAGCCTTTCCTGCTTTGAATCAAGTTCAGAGACATGAGCAAACGCACAGTACAGTTAAACCCTTTGTATGTAATCAGTGTGGTAAAGCCTTTACTCTCCATAGTTCCCTTCGGGACCATGAGAGGGTCCATAGTGGGGAGAAACCGTATGTATGCAAGCAATGTGGTAAAGCCTTCACTTATCACAGTTCCCTTTGGTACCATGAAAAGATTCACAGTGGAGAGAAACCTTATAGATGTAAGCAATGTGAGAAAGCATTCTTGCTGTGTAGTTCCTTGCAAAGACATGAACGAATTCACTCTGGAGTAAAACCCTGTCCAGAAGAGTGTGTATCTGTGAGCTAGAGAAGTCCTAGAATGCCATAAAGAGTTTATCTGGCCATTTTGATGGGTATGGAAGGTCAAACTGCCAATAGAAATGTAAAAAATAAAGACTGCTCATTTGGTTTCAGAAAGAAATGTGTGCTGTCTTGGGAAATGGACTAGAAGCCATGCATATTTCATTTTGACAAATACACTGGTTACATTCTGCCCATGCCCAAATAATCTGAGTGAGGTTGAATTAAAGGACATATTTTATTACACCAAGGCAATTTGGAGACAGTGTAGTATTCAGTGTGGCACTGTTATTGCTCTCTACTCTTACTGGGTTTGCAGAGAGATAGAGAGATGAAAAAAAATATCTAGCTTGTTGAGAAAATCATAATCGAGTTTAATGTTGCATAAAAGGAATGCATGGTGGGGTGGCTGTCACTGTTAAAAAGATTAGCACAGCTTAAGAATAAAGCATTCATTTTGCACTGGGACAATAGGAGGGATACACTGAGGTCATAGTTTACCCATTGAAGACTCCAGTTTGAAAGTATATAAAATTGTTTGAGAGACTGAGTGATGTCTTGCTCAAAATAGTTGCCTAGGGAAATATTTTTCCTGGTTCAACCACTAAGGCACACAGGCTATTTCAGTTCTGTTAGAAGGTGGCCACTCTACATCTCAAGCAAGCAGCAGAACTTGACAACATCCTTCATCCTTCATGAATGCAAAGTGCAAGACCTGACCTGAGTTCTGGAGGCTTGCTCCAAGCCCAGTAAAGCCAGGTGACATGTGTCCCATTTGGATGCCCTGCAAAGAAGGCAATCTATAGCACATTCAATATGTAGCACCTCCTTTTATGAAAGAGGGTCTTGAGAGGCCTCCTTTCATTGTGGTGGAGCTGTGAAGGTGAGCCCCATGTTACAGCATAGATTCTAGGAGATGCCAAGACCATGGTTGGTCCGACAAGGAAGCAGGGAGTTGAACCAGTCTAGTGCTATGGGTGCTGTAGGGAACAGAAATGGAGGAGTGGGTTTACACAAGGCTGATGGAGCTCAGATGATATCAACAGTAACTCTAGATGTTGACAAAAATCTTCAGGATTTGGTGATCACGCTTCTGGACTGTGGCTTTGCTTTTGGCAGTCTTTCCCTGCTATATTCTCAGTTCTCCATTTTGGAATGGAAATGTTTATTATATGTCATTGTATATTGAGCTTTGTAACTTTTCTAAGGGCTCAGAGTTCCAAGATTGCCTTGAGTCTAAGGAAAAAGAAACAAAACAAAAACAAACTTTGGACTTTGAGCTATTAAGCAGTGTTTAAATTACTAAGAATGTGGAGATTTTTAAAAACTGAATGGATTATTTTTGCTTTATGAGATGGCCATGAACCTTTGAGGGCCAGGGATAGAACAATATGATTATAAAGAGTGCCTCTGGGCATTGTCTTGACAAGAGGTAGACTTGATGGCTAATTTTTATTGTCAGTCTGGCTGGCTTTATAGTCACCCCAAAGAAAAGGCACATCCAGAGAGATTTAACTGCTGAGGGAAGACCCACCCCCTTTGGATTTCATTGTGCCATCTCTTGGCTTGGGGGCCCAGACTGAATAAAAATTGAGAAAACTTAGACCACCAGCATTTGTCTTCCAGCCCACGCCATACCTTCCATTTCCCTTAAAACTGAGATCAAATAAGCATTTATGGAAATTGTTTTTGTCTGATATTTTGTCATGGCATCAAGAAAAGTAATTTCTATACCCCGTGAATACCATCAATGTGGGCAAACTGTTCCTCCTCATAGTTTTCTTCATCATGAAATGTTTTGTTCGTGCTCTAAAGAAAGCCCTTCTATTCTGCAAACTATGCAAGAAGGCCTTCTAGCCTTTGAATTGGTTTGATTAAACTCACACTGGAGAAAACCATGCGGGCACAAGCAGTGTGGCATATCTGTCTTGCTGTGATTTCTTTAAAGTATGTATAAGCAGCCACCCGTGAAGGCATCCCTCAGGGTAGAGTGTGGGAAGTTCCCGTTCTCACAAGTCCATTCTAGCAAACTTGACAGTGGTCAGTGAGGAAAACGTGTATTAGTGTAACCTGTGGAGGGGCATCTCTATTTATCTCAATTCAGAAATTTAAAAGAATGGGTCTTGTGACATGCATCAGTGAGGAAAGGTCTTTGCTGCCAAGTTCAATGACATGGGTTGATTCTCAGAGCCCATATCCTGGAAGGTGAGAGCCAACTCTTGCAAGTTGTCCTCTGACCTGCACACATACAGTGTGATATGTGCATCCCTCCCCTTTCCACATACCCTTAAAATACCACACTATGATTGGGAAATGTGCATTCGGATACTGTACATCAGTCTTCAACTGGTCCACATGTTTGAATGCATGCTGGCTCAAACTCTTATGGGAATGGGTAAAGAAAACTTGCTTATAATAAATAGCTTCACAATCCTGTGGAGTTTCTTCATGCAGTCCATTCCTAGAAACAAGCAATATAAAACGGCTGCAAAATAAATTTGTGTAGAATTTTCCAGAAACTAGAAAACCTGATGGAAACGTTCTGAGATTTATAAATGTGTTTATTCAGTTGTTGGTATTGACTGCCATTTAATTTATTGTTTACTTTTAAAACCAATTTAAAAACTTCTGTCTGTGGGTGTTTTGCCTGCATGTGTGTCTGTGTGTGCATGCAGTGCCAGAGGTTGCTAAAAGAAGGCATCCTGTCTCCTGCAAATGGACTTACAGATGGCTTTCAGGCACTGTGGATGTGGGTGCTGGCAATTGAGCGCTGGTTCTCCGAAAAAGCAGCAAATGCCATTGAGCCATCTTCCCAGCTCCTAAAAATACAAGAAAGGGCTGATGAAGTGGCTTGCTGCCTGGTGACCTGATTTGGGTCCCCATGACTCGTGTGGTGAGAGGAGAGAACCAACTCCTGAAAGTTGTCCTCTGACCCCCACTTTAATGCCATGACACCAGAGTGCACACACATACTCATGAAATAAAGAAATGCATTTTTTTCTTTTAAATTTAAGGACTCCTTTTTTGCATTGTTTTGTTTCGGTTTTTTTGAAACAGGCTTTCTCTCTGTAGCCCTGGCTGGCCTGGAACTTACTCTGTAAACTAGCCTGGCCTCTGCCTCCCAAATGTGAGATTCAAGGTGTCTACTACCACTACCTGCCTTTATAACTCAGAAAAAGATCTCTAGACAATGTATTTTTAAATACATTCCTGAAAGTATGTATTGAACTGAAATAATTATTTAAGGTTAATTATGAACTTAGTTGGTAGTATATTCTGTTATTTGTATATTTACTGATTTAAAAATAATTTATTTGTGTGTGTATATGAACATGTGTAGGCAGGTGCCAGTGGAGGCAAAAAGGACACTGGATCCTTTGGACCTGGACTCACAGGTGTGTGTTAGCCACCATTTGTGGGCACTGTAATCTAAACTCTGGTTCTCACGATTGAGCAGCAAGGGTTGTTAACCAATAATAACCCATCTCTCCATCTCCTATTTATTTACTATGTCGTCTGGATTGGACTGAAACTCACTATAACCCAGGCCGCCCTTTAACTTGTGATCATCCTCCTCCCTCTGTCCTGGGGGTAGTTGTGTGTGTGTGTGTGTGTGTGTGTGTGTGTGTGTGTGTGTGTGTGTGTGTGTTGTGTGTGTATTGTGTGTGTGTGCAGTGAAATTTATTGATGATATTCAAGACAGTAGGATCCCTCTGGGGTCTGGGATGGAACCTATGAAGGAGATGCTCTGTGTTGAGTTGGGACAGGGACTGCTTAGCAGCCAAAATGTCATCAAATGTAGTAATACTACTTTTCTATTTTTGTTCTGTTACTTATTTTGGTTTCTTTTGAGACAGGACAGGCTTTCTTCTAGTTGAGACATTACATGTGTGTACTACTGTGTCTGTGTTTATATTTATTTTAAATTATGTTGAATTCATGAGAGAATTGAGATGTCTGCTCAGTGTTCCACTAGTCTTGATTTCTATGCAGCTTTCAAGTAATTGTGATTAATGGGCCATTTTAAAATGAGTTTTTTTTTTAGCTGGGCAGTGGTGGCACATGCCTTTAGTCCCAGCACTCAGGAGGCAGAGGCAGGTGGATCTCTGTGAGTTCTAGACTAGCCTGGTCTACAAGAGCAAGTTCCAGGACAGCCTCCAAAGCTACAGAGAAACCCTGTCTCAAAAAATCAAAACAAAAAAAATACAAAAAAAAAATAAAATGAGTTTTTTATGGGGCTGGTGAGATGGACCAGTGGTTGCGAGCACTAGCTGCTTTTCCAGATGATCTCAGTTTGATTTCAAGCACTCATTTTGGCTAGCTCACAACTGTCAGGCCCAGGGGATGAAATATCTTCTTGGGGGTTCTGTGGGTACCCACAAGCATGCATATGTATAAATAATAAATTAAAAAAAGATTTGCTTGTTATTTTTATATGTATGTGTTTCTTGCCTGCATGCCTACAGAGTCTAGAAGATGGTGTTGGATCACCTGAGATTAGAGTTACAGGTGGTTGGAGTCACCAATATGTGGGTACTGGGAACTGAACCTGGGTCCTCTGGAAGGGCAGCCAATGTTCTCAACTACTGAGCCATCTTTTCAGCCCCTGAAAATAGTAACCCTTGGAAAATGAATGTTTGAGTTGGATTTGTTGCATACATAATTATACCACTGGAGTTGGAGGCAGGAGGATTAGGAATTCAAACCACCTTTGGCTACATCAAAAATAAAAAGTTTTTGTTAATTGTTGAGACTTTATTACTGGGTTCATGTGACCCCCCACACCTACACACAAATTCTCCCTCCCTCCCCCTCCTCCTCCTCCTCCTCCTCCTCCTTCTTCTTCTATTATAATGTAATTACATCATTGCCCCTTTCCCTTTCCTCCCTCCAAACAATCCATTCTTTCAAATTCATGGCCTCTCTTGTTTCACTAATCAATCATTGTTACATGCATATACGAGTAAACATATCTTTTCCTAAATATAACCTGCTCAGCCTGCATAA